CCGTCGGAGGCGCGTGCGCGTGCGCGCGCGAGGACTGCGGTGGAGACGCACGCGCGGGCCGGGAGGGCGCGGCCAGCGGGCGCTCGGGTCGGGCTATGGGGGAACCCGGCTCCGCGAGCGGGGAGCCCTCGTGTCCGCCTTTGCTGTGCAACCAGAGTGAGGACTCCCTGACTCTGCTAATTCAGGTGCCTCGGATCCAGCCCCAGAGTCTTCAAGGGGATTTGAGCCCCCTCGGTTACAGGTTGCGCTTCTCCACGCAGGAGTCCGTTTATTCCTTCCTTTTGCAATTTGCTCCCGGGAATACCTTGAGCACCAGCGAGCCCGTGATTAGCATTTCTTCAGACAATGCGGTGATAGAGCTGGCCAAGTCTCCAGAGAGCCGTGGACACTGGAGAGAGTGGTATTACGGTTTAAACCACGATTCTTTGGAGGTAACCGTTTTTTCTAGAGTCTTAATAGTTCAGAGTGTGATTTTACTTTGGTCACGAACCCGTGGGTTCAGGCTTAATTTTTTTTTTCTCTTCGAATTGGAGTCTTACTCTGTCGCCCAGGCTGGAGTTCACGCTTACAGCCACCGCAGCCTCGACCTGCTGGGCTCAGGTGATCCTTCGGCCTCAGTCTTCCAAGTAACTGGATCTACAGGCGTGCGCCAACACGCCCAGCTAAGTTTTTGTTTATTGTAGAGATGAAGTCTTGCCCAGTTGCCCAGTCTGGTCTCGAACCCGTGGGCTCAGGCAGTCCTCTCACCTTGGCTTCCCAAAGTGCTGGGATTATAGGCGGGAGCCACCGCGCCCGGTCTGATCTTACTTTGGAGTGTTGCTATTGCAGGCCTCTCCGTTTCCCAGAAACAAAGCACTTTTCCGTTATCACTTGGTGTCATAACTTAAGATGGATGCACGTGATGAAAGATGCCAGTGTGTGTCAACTGTATTTTGAAAAGAACCGACAGGCATCCCCTCTGGAGGAGGAGTTTCCAGTGATCAAAGCTACCCCCCATACAGTTGCTTTCCTGGGGCCTGTGAACTCCGAAGGAGATCACACATGGATTTCCAGATGTCAGTAGACCTCTAGGAGTGTACAGAAACCCGAGGGTGATTTCTCCTGGGGAGAAGAACTATATAGCTTTAGCCAGATTCTCAGAGGGGTTTGTGACTCAAGTAAGTTCAAGAAGCACTCCATAATGGGCGTCTTTGAAGTTGGTGGAGCATGTTTTGGAGTTTAGAAAGTAAATAATAACCAGCACAGTGGCTCACGCCTGTCATCCCAGCACTTTGGGAGGCTGAGGTGAGAGGATTGCTTGAGTTTCAAGGGTTTGAGACCAGCCTGGGCAACCTAGCAAGACCTCTTCTCTACAATAAATCAAAAAATCAGCCAGGCATGGTGGCACATGCCTCTGGTTCCAGCTTATTGGGAAGGCTGAGGTGGGAGGATTGCCTGAGCCCAGCAGGTCAATGCTGCAGTCGTGTGAGCGTGCTACTGCACTCCAGAGTGAGACTCTGACTCAAAAAAATAAGTAAATAATAATAATCTTCCAGAGAGAAAAAGTAACTCAGCCAGTGCACCCAGTTCTTAGGTGGGAAAACAGTTTTGGCCCAAGTGAATGCAAGCCCCAGGCCTGCTGGGCAATATGGGACTGCTAAACTTTAGTAGACGATTTTAATGGGATTGTCCTCTGTTGGGCGCTATGTTAGATTGGAATGATGTCTTTTTGAGGCTATTTTAATCATATTTAGGTCCCTATTAGACTTTAGCACAATGTCTAGCATTTTACAAAGTGTAATAAATGTTGGTTGCACTGAACAGCACCTACATTAGTGGCACCTCTTCTAGGCCAGATACTTTAGAACTGGGCTGAGCATGATGTGTTTTACTTAGAATATCATTTTGATGAACTACTCACTATGTCCTGTTATCGTTCTGCTATACCCTTTAGGTTACTGAGGATCTTGAATTTCAGATTCAACACTCCACTACTATAGACAAATACTGATTAAAACGACTTAAAATTTGAAGTTGTAAAGACTGTAAGATAGTGTTGCTTATGTAAAAAGAAGGACTCTTTTTTTTTTTTTTTTTGAGTTGGAGTCTCACTCTGTCTCCCAGACTGGAGTGCAGTGGCCACTCCCGGCCACCGCAGCCTTGACCTGCTGGGCTCCAGCGATCCTTCCGCCTCAGCCTTCCAAGTAGCTGGAACTACAGGTGCGCGCTACCACGCCCGGCTGATTTTTTTTTTGATTTATTGTAGAGATGAGGTTTCGCCAAGTTGCCCAGGCAGGTCTCGAACCCGCGGGTTCAGGCAATCCACTCACCTCAGCCTCCCAAGGTACGGGATTATAGACTGAGCCACCGAGCCCGGCTAGGAAGGACTCTTTAAACTCATAAGTGAGCAATTGGTTTTGACTGAGGTTTGTGTTAGTCCCATGTAGTTTTTCTAAAAAATGTCTTAATATGGCTGGGCGTGGTGGCTAAAACCTGTAATTCCAGCACTTCAGGAGGCTGAAGTGAGGGGATTGCCTGATCTCACAGGTTCGAGAATAGCCTGGGCAACTTGGTGAGACATCAACTCTATAATAAATGAAAAAATTAGCCGGGCATGGTAGTGCGCGCCTATAGTTCCAGCTACTTGAAAGACTGAGGTGGAAGGATCACCTGAACCCAGCAAGTCAAGGCTGCGATGGCCAAGAGCATGCCACTGCACTCCAGCCTGGGTGACAGAGTGAGACACCAACTCAAAAAAAAAAAAAAAATCTCTTAATATATTCAAGAGTCAAGTTCAGGTGGCTCACGCCTATAATCCCAGCATTTTGAGAGGCCGAGGTGAGAGGATTGCTTGAGCCTGCGGGTTCGAGACCAGCCTGGGCAACTTAGTGAGACCTCATCTCTAAAAAAAGTCAAATTCCAAGAAATAGCACCAGTTGCACAGATTGTACGCATATTAAAAATTTAAGCCAGGTGTGGCTCGTTCCTGTAATCCCAGCACTTTGGGAGGCAGAGGCAAGAGGATTACTTGAACCCGAGGGTTTGAGACCAGCCTGGGCAACTTGACGAGACCTCCTCTTTACAACAAATCAGAAAAATTAGCTGGCTGTAGTGGTATACACCTGTAGCTCCAGCTACTTGGAAGACTGAGGTGGAAGAATCACCTGAGCACAGCAGGACCAGGTTAAGGTGGCTGTAAATGTTCCACTGCACTCAGCCTGGGCATCAGAGTGAGACTTCGACTCAAAAAAAAGAAATGTTTTTAAGTATATGACCCTAGGCTTTACTTACCAGAGGTTTTCTCTCTTCCCTGTTGTTTTTTCTAAATTTGCTAATAAGTTACATCTGTATTTTATGAGTTGAATATCTCTGTGAGGTAGTTAATTTGAAACTCTCCAAAAATGGCAAAAAAGAAAAAAAATAGCCAGGTTAGGTAAGATAGTGTGCTAGAATTTAGGTTGAAATTGAGTATCTGTTTATATCATCAGAAGTGGGAAATTTAGGAAAGGGCAGTCGTTTTCCTGTAATTGTTTTAATAACATGAAAATAACCCACAATGTAGGAAGAAAACATCATGGACAATCAGTTCACAGATATTCAAGAGTATATTTTAATCTGATTTTCAAGTATGCTAACATTTTAGCATAGAAACTAGACCAAAATGGGATTAGGGAAACTGTGTTTTATATCTTCGAAACCTGAAATAGACTCATAGTTACTTCGCTAATCACCACATTTGCTAAGGCAGATGCAACCATAATGTCCAGTTCTTTTGCTTTACCTTGTACTGGACCAGGCTATAGGTTTTTTAAAAAATCATGAGTACGAAATAATCATAATGTAAAGGGACTGTTTTGTGACTGTCAAGGTAAAAATTGTTACTTTACAAATACTAAATAAATCTATTGGATTCTTAAATATTCACTGAGAATGTTCCTAGAGTTTTGGGCCACTGAGTTCAGTAACTCATTTTTAAAATGTAACCCTGAGCTGGACTCGGTGGCTCAGCCTGTAATCCTGCGCCTTTGGGAGGCTGAGGTGAGTGGATTGCCTGAGCCTGCGGGTTTGAGGCCCGCCTGGACAGCGAGACCTCATCTCTACAATAAATCAAAAAATCAACTGGGCATGGTAGCGCCTGCCTGTAACTCCGGCTACTTGGAAGGCTGAGGCGGAAGGATCGCCGGAGCCCAGCAGGTCGAGGCTGCAGTGGCCGGGAGCGGCCACTGCACTCCAGTCTGGGCGACAGAGTGAGACTCCAATTCAAAAAAAAAAAAAAAAATGTAACCCTGAAAGTGTGAGAATTTTTGTGAGCTGCTTTTCGATACAACTGTGTCAAGTCTGACTTATAAGACAGTATTTTGTCTCTTTTTTTTTAGGAAAGGTGGTTTGTCAATGAGGAAAATGTTAACGAGTTTCTTGAAGAGGTCCTGAGCTCTCCATTCAAAGAGATTATGCCCGTGACCCCACCACTAATTGAAGTTCTTCAGGTTACTGATAGTAGGATTCAAATTAATGCAAAGGTAAGGAATTTGGTGGGTTTTATAGAGGAGTGACTAAGGACAAAGTTAAAGTTTAACTATTTAAATTCTTGATTTCTTAATGTCAATTTAAAACACAATGTACATAATGGTGGGAGAAAGTGATGTTTAGAGAAGAAAACGTAGCTAAGCGTGGTGGCTCATGCCTGTAATCCCAGCACTTTGGGATGCGGAGGCGAGAGGATTACCTGAGTTCAGGGGTTTGAGACCCACCTGAGCAACATGGCAAGACTTTGTCTCTACAATAAATCAAAAAATCAGCTGGACATGGTGGCGCATGCCTGTGGTTCTAGCTACTTGGAAGGCTGAGGCAGAACAGGTCGCCTGAGCCCAACAGGTCGATGCTGTGGTGACCATGCTACTGTACTCCGACCTGGGCAACAGAGAGACTCTGACTCAAAAAGAGAAAAGGGAGCCGGGCTCGGTGGCTCAGCCTGTAATCCGGCGCCTTTGGGAGGCTGAGGTGAGTGGATTGCCTGAACCCGCGGGTTTGAGACCCGCCTGGGCAGCGAGACCTCATCTCTACAACTAATCAAAATATCAGCCGGGCGTGGTAGCGCTCGCCTGTAGTTCCGGCTACTTGGAAGGCTGAGGCGGATGGATCGCCGAAGCCCAGCGGGTCGAGGCTGCGGGGGGCGGGAGCGGCCACTGCACTCCCAGTCTGGGCGACAGAGTGAGATTCCAACTAAAAAAAAAAAAAAAAGAAAAAAGGAAAGAAGAAAACGCTTTTGTGTGTATATTACTATGTACTTTGCTATTCATTTTCATGTTACTTTGTTTAATTCCAAAATAACCCTCCAAATGAGGAACAAAAAGAAACTAACATTTAGGTAGTTTCATACTAGTCTAGGGGCAAACACAAGTCTTTTTTTTTTTTTTCTCTTAAACCATGGGAACTATGTCGTACAGCTTGTTTATTCTTTCTAGTTGAACCTTAAGTTTGGTCATTTTTGTAGTCCTCAGTACTGGACACAAAAATAATTTAGTAACCAGCACAAATGATTGATATGTGAATTGGGGTAAAGGTAGCTCTGAAAAATCATAGAAATTCAAGAAAATTCAAGCAATTCAGCACTGCCTTTAGAAGAATCACTGTTGGCTGGGTGTGGTGGCTTAAGCCTGTAATTCCAGCACTTTGGGAGGCTGAGACAAGAGGATTGCCTGAGTCCAGGAGTTCGAGACCAGCCTGGGAAAAATGGCGAGACCTCGCCTCTACAATAAATCGAAAAAATCAGCCAAGTGTGGTGGCACATGCCTATAGTTCCAGCTACTTAGAAGGCTGAGGTGGAAAGATTGCCTGAACCCAGCAGGTCGAGGCTGCGGTGGCCGTCAGCATGCCACTGCACTTCAGCCTGGATGACAGAGTGAGACTCTGACTCAAAAAAAGAATAACTGTTGCCAGACACAGTGGCTCAAGCCTGTCATCCCAGCACTTTGGGAGGCGGAGGCGAGAGGTTTGCCTGAACTTAGGGGTCCGAGAACAGTCTGAGCAGCATAGCGAGACCTCATCTCTACAGTGAATCAAAAAAATTAGCTGTGGTGGCACATGCTTGTGGTTCAAGCGACACGGAAAGCTGAGGTGGAAGGATCACCTGAGCCCAGCAGGTCAAGGCTATGGTGGCCAGGGAGCATGCCAGTGCCCTCCAGCCTAAGGTTTTTTAAACCATATTGAAAAGCTTGGATTATTTTATTGTGAAGGAGATAAGGACTCATTGAAAAGAATTTAATCAGAATATTAATGCTAGCCGGGCTCGGTGACTCAGCCTGTAATCCCACGCCTTGGGAGGCTGAGGTGAGTGGATTGCGTGAGCCCACGGGTTCGAGACCCGCCTGGGCAACTTGGTGAGACCTCATCTCTACAATAAATCAAAAAATTAGCCGGGTGTGGTAGCGCACGCCTGTAGTTCCAGCTACTTGGAAGGCTGAGGTGGAAGGATCGCCGGAGCCCAGTAGGCGAGGCTGCGGTGGCCGAGAGCGGCCACTGCACTCCAGTCTGGGCGACAGAGTGAGACTCCAATTCAAAAAAAAATAAAAATAAAAAAAGAATATTAATGCTAAGTTTATATTGCTGACAGTGTTTAGAGGGTGACTTTGAGAGGGAAGCCTGGAAGCATATCTGCAGGGACTATTATTTCAAACTTTTAAAAAATCTTATTTCCAGAGGCTGTCACAATTTAATTTTCAGTATTACAATTTAATTTTCTGTTGTTTCAAAGAATTATTATTTGTTGTTTCTCTTGACACAGCTGCAAGAAAGTAGTAACTCTGATCAGCTTGAAGGACAGGAAGAAAGAGACAATGAAGGGAGTCATCTAGCTGAAAAAGAAAATATAGACCATTTTACCATCTCTACAACAAAATCTGATTCATGTACAGCTGCTAAAGCACTACAAATAGGTAGCTGTGAGTCAGTTGCATGCTTTCAACAAGAGTCTCCTGATGCTTCTCAAATGATATTTGGAAAATATCAGCAACCTGAACCAAAAATGGAACCTGAATTTGTAAAAGAAAAAAATGCTACTTACTCAAATGAGGAAAAAGATAATGTAAAAGAACCAGTAATAACTGAAGAGAAAGAATCAGATGGAGATCACCTATCTTCAGTAATGAACAAAACTACAGTTCATAGTATACCTGATTTTGCCAGCATAAAAGAAACCAATATGCAGGATGGTAGTGTGCAGGTTATTAAAGATCATGTGACTACCTGTGCATTCAGTTTTCAGAATTCTTTGCTGTATGATTTGGACTAATTCTGTATAATTCTGGAATTTAAGTGTTACAATTAAAAAATTGAACTGGGCAACCCCTTGGGTCCCCTTCCACTGTGGGAGTTTCTCTGTCCTTTCAATAAATCCTACTTTCTAAAAAAAATTTGGACCTAGAATTTATTACCTTTCTGTTACCTATCACAACTAAAGGTATTCAGCAAAGTAAAAAGTTTATTTTAAAAGGGAAATGAGATATTTATTTTTTTACCTCTAGAGTTAATAGTTTCCTTATGGAGCTGTTGTGTGATTCCTTTGATAGATGTGTATTTCTTATGGGACATTAAATATTTAGTTTTAATACAATCTGTATATATTTACTTCTGTGTTAAGTTTACTCCTTTGTTTATCATTACTTTAATAAAGTTTCAAAATACATATTCACTAAGTTGTGTTTGTCACCCAGAGTAATTCTCAAGAATGCAATTAGCTAGAAATATGTGTGTGGGGGGGTAGAATCTCAAAACTATTTGTTTATAAGTCTCACTAACTGGGATTTGTTTATGTTTGAAATAGACTTTCTTAGAGGGGAAAAACTTTACTAACAAATGTGAACAGTCTAAACAATTACAATACAAATTGACCAAATGAAATTTAGTATTTTTGGCTCAATTCTGTCTCGTACTGTTGTCACACGAACTATACACTATATATACAGAGGGTACCCCAAAACTGTAAAATGGTAACATTTTAAGAGATGTTATCTATGTCTTACTTTTTGAAGTTGGATTATGATAGCGACGTGTAGTATGACATTCATTCAGCCATGTTTCTGCCATTTTCTTTGTCCTGCCTGTCACATGGTGACACTAATATTTGATTAATGCCATGTTTTGAGCAGACATCATACTTAAAAGGTATATACATTTTTTGGGACACCCTATGTGTGTGTATCTATCTATCCATCTATCTATCTTTATACATATATTTAACTTAATATACATTTTTGAAAAATCAAGGTTTTTTTGAGTAGAAGTCTCACTCTTGTCCGGGCTAGAGTGCAGTGGCACGCTCCATGACCACTGTAGCCTTGACCTGCTGGACTCCTGTGATCCTTCTGCCTCAACCTTTCAAGTAGCTGGAACTACAGATGCACACCACCACACCTGGCTGGGTTTTTTTTTGTGTGATTTATTATAGAGACGAGGTCTCGCCAAGTTGCCCAGCCTGGTCTCGAATCCCTGGGCTCAGGCAAGCTTCTCGCCTCAGCATCTCAAAGTTCTGGGATTACAGGCTGAGCCAACTGCGCGTGACCAGAAAATCAATTTTTATTTTTATTTTTGAGTTGGAGTCTCACTCTGTCGCCCAGACTGGAGTGCAGTGGCCACTCCCCGCCACCACAGCCTCGACCTGCTGGGCTCCAGCGATCCTTCTGCCTCAGCCTTCCGAGTAACTGGCATTACAGGCGCGTGCTACCACACCCAGCTGATTTTTTGATTTATTGTAGAGATGAGGTCTCGCTGCCCAGGCGGGTCTTGAACCCACGGGCTCAGGCAATCCACTCACCTCAGCCTCCCAAGGGCGCGGGATTACAGGCTGAGCCACCAAGCCCAGCGTGAAAATCAATTTTTAAAAAGAATTTCTTGGCCAGGAGTAGTGGCTCACATTCCAACATTTTGGAAGGTGGAGGCAGGAGGGTGACCCAAGCCCAGTGGTTTGAGACCAGCCTGGGCAACTTGGCGAGACCTTGTCTCTACCATAAATTTTTAAAAAGCTGGGCGTGGTGGCATGTATCTATAGTTCCAGATATTTGGAAGGCTGAGGTAACACTTTCTTGGGGCCAGGCATGGTGGGTCACATCTGTAATCCCAATATTTTGGGAGGCAGAGGCGGGAAGATCACTCATGGCCAGGGTTTCAAGACCAGCCTAGGCAACATAGAGAGACTTTGTCTCCACAAAACAAACAAAAAAACCCCCACAGTATTCACCAGGCATGGTGATGCATGCCTATAATCCCAACTACTTGGGAGTCGAAGCTGGAGGATCATCTGAGTCTAGGTCAAGACTGTGGTGAGCCATAATTGCCTTGATTGTGTCACTGCACTCAAGCCTGGTGACAGATGCCGACTCAAAAAAAATTTTTTTCTTTTAAGTTACTATTGAAATATTAAAATTTTTTTGGTGTCATAGAATACATTTAAGAACTTCAAAACAAATTTTAAAAACTGGCAGTTTGCTCGGATACGAAAATTATATTATTACATGAAATCCAAAGCCAGTGTTTTCCTCTTTTTATTTTTAAATTTTTTATTTTTTGAGTCGGAATCTCACTCTGTCTCCCAGGCTGGAGTGCAGTGGCATGCTCATGGCCACTGCAGCCTCGACCTGCTGGACTCAGGCAATCCCGCTTCAGCCTTCCGGGTGGCTGGAACCACAGGAATGTACCACCATGCCGGCTAATATTGTTTTATTTATTGTAGAGATGAGGTCTCACCAAGTTGCCCTGGCTGGTCTCGAAACCCTGAACTCAGGCAATTCTCTTGCCTCAGCTTCCCAAAGTGCTGGAATTATAGGCAGGAACCCACATGCCAGGCCAGTTGTTATTTATTTATTTATTTATTTAAAGACAGAGTCTCACTGTGTTGCCTAGGCTGGATTCAAACTCCTGGGCTCAAGTGATCCTCCTTACTGCAGTCTCCTGAATAATCAGCTTCTTTTATGACACCTAAAATGTGAGGCAAATAGAGAATCCAAACGGGTTTTTCCTTGCAAAAACATTTAAGACAGCATGAAAGAAAATGTAGAAAGGAAAACGTTGTGCTAATCATTAACCCCAAGGCCAGCACCTGATCTATTTCTGTTACAAAAACAGCTGCTAATCAGACACCGGCTAGAAAATCACCCAATTTCTTTAGTCCTTTGAACTGCTCATGTCAGGTCAGAGTATCAAAAACGGGTATAAAGCCTGCTAAGTCATTCTTATCTACATTTATAAGCCCCAGATAAAGACCGGCACCGGACTGGGCTGTGAGGTAGTATAAAGGTAGCTCATAAAGCAAGAGAACAATTTGCCACATCTTAGTTGAGCAGATGCACTTTTCAACCACTGTAAACCTGAAACTGATGCAATGATTTTGAGACTGCCATGTAATCGTTTTCTTGGGTTTAAATGACTAATTGTAGTTATCTTTACACAAAAGTTACTCTTTTATGAGTAATTATTGGTTGAATGCAATTATATGTTAAGGGAAACTTCCATAAACTTCTACACTAAATATGGATTAAATTTTAAGCCTGTTTTCTTTTATTTACTGTATCTATCCTTTTAAAAAAGCTTGAGTTAAATCTGGCACTAGAAAATGCTTTACTTTGGCATGACTAACTTTGTATCATTTTTGGCTATCAAAAACAATTTAGGCTGTATTTCTCTTACACAGCAACTTTTTATTGTTCATTATCTATGCCTGGCTAATTTGAAAGCTAAACAGTTTCTTCCAAAGGGAATGCATTGTCATGAGCTGGATTTTCTTTCAAACTCAATTATACAATGTAAAGATAGTAAATACTGAGATATAATACTATCAAATTTTCTAGAATGCCTTTTCGGAATTTAAGTATAAAGAGTAAACAGAACTTATTCTGCAAAAGGATTAGGAACTTTTTATGCAAAAACGAGTATTTTATTTTGGCAGCACTAAAAGAAAAAAAATCAAAATCACTGTATTTCTACATTGAGGTGAAAACAATGTTTAAACTTTCTTATCAATCAAATACATTCCAAAAGAAAGTGTGTTCTATGAAGGTTCCAGAGCACAGGCAAATCTTAACACACTACAGAAACCTGTAATACTGAAAATGACTGTTCTGACAGGGTGCTTAACAAACATAACTTTTGATTATGAAACCAGTGAAGCAATCCCTTCCTATAATTGTGTCAAGAGTCAAATGGGCTTTTTCCATTAATACTCTAATAATTTCATTGTAATACTTTTTTATTGGTACAATAGTTTTAAATAAATTTTGTTGTACTTAAAGTTCTGAAAGTGGAAAAGTGTACAAAGTTTCAGATAAAAAGATTAATAGATGTAATTTAAATAAAATTTCCCCTCTTCTCTCATATCAATGAACAATAATCATTACCTTTAGCAGATACAGACTGAGCTTTCAAACCCTTACTCCCAAAGTGAAAACTTCAGTTTAAATCTTAATCAAACATAACTGGAAAAGATTACTATGTATTTGGACACCTTTTACAAGAATTTATTTTGTATTAAAGCAGAAACCAGTTCCTAAACACTTTTATTCAATTGTATATATATCCTGTTTGGACAAATATCAAAAATAGAAGACCGTCACTTTTGCTTTTGTGATTTTTCACTGCAGTCTTCTATAACTTTTACAGAGTTCATGGTCCCTGATATCTCCCCACCCTCCATTTTTCCTAGGTGGGGAAATAGGTACCATAGTAAACTTCTCACCGATAATCAGAGTCTCTGGAAACATGTACTGTTTGTTGTTATTTAAGAGTGACTCAATTTGGGCACTCTGGGTGGATGGTCTACAGGTTTTCTTGTGATGCATACCACAGTCTCCAGCATGAAAAATCCTAGGAACTTGAGGAACCAGCACTTTCCAAAATTTTGGAAGACAAGAGACAGTCAAATATTGAAGAGTCCAGTCCCAGTTATAGTCATCATAAGTACAGAAAGTATCTGTGCACTCGATCAGTTTCTGATAAGCATTTCTGGTCAAGGCCAGACCCATATTGTGCTCTGTGGATTTCCAAGTTTTCACATCAACCTTGTCAGCAATGCCATAGAAGCTGCGACTGGCAGTATAGGCCCCCAGGGAGAGAACGTCGCACTCAGGACATTCTTGTTGCTTCAACTTCCACATCTTTTTGAAGACATGGTAAAAGTCTGGGGCTAAGTAGTGATCCTCTTCTAGGAAAAGTATAAGGCCAGCGTAATCTTGAAGAATTTTGACTCTTTCCCATACAAAATGCAGCTTCCACCACCAGTGATGTTTGGTTTGGGAGAACTTGGCCTCTCGGTAATGGCCGAAGGAGTCGGGATACTCAGCATTAATGCACCCCAATTTCAAAGCTGCATTCTTCTGCAGGTCTCTGGGGCAATCTCGGGGGTCACTGCCTGGAAACTCGTTGGGGTACAACTGGGTGCTGAAAGGAAAGAACACCTGCAGAACCGGACAGAAATCCACCCCGGCGATCAGCTGATTGACCTCTGTGGACCAGAAGTCGTGGCTGAAGATGACGAGGACGTCGTTCACGCCCTGGGCTTTCCGAAGGGAGTCCAGCAGCAGCCTGAGGTATTCGGGCCGGTTGTGCACCTGGACCACCAGCACCAGCTCGCGGGGGGCCCAGGCGCCGGCCCTGTCCACGTTCCTCAGCGTCTGGTCAAAGTTCAGCTGGTACACCAGGGAGCGGTACCGCAGCGTCAGGTTGTCCGCCTCGGGCTGGGGGGCGGCGGGGACCAGCGGAGCCGCCGACGCGTTGGAGACCCGGCGGAGGCCCACGGCCGCCGAGGGATGGTCCCCGCCCCGGCCGCCCGCAGCCCGCGCGGGCTCGGCGTCCAGCAGCGGCGGGGCGAGGGCCTCGGCCTTTCTTTGTCGCCCATTGCTGCTCCAGAGAACGAAGCCGCAGGCGGCCACCACGAGCGTCAGGATCAGCACCTTCCGTTTGTAGATGCGGAACCTCATGGTCTCCAGGGCCGGGCGCGCGGGCGGACGGGCGGGCGGGCGCGGAAAGGGGCTCGCGGCTTCGGCGCGGAAGGGGCGGACGGCGGCCTCGCCTGGGCCTGCAGCGGTCGCTAACTCATCCCGGGCCCCG